TCTACCACATAATCATAAGTATTTATAATGGGTTAAAATATATGTTTTCGGTTATTAAGAATATGATCTAAATTCCGATACTATATATTTTTGGATTTGCATGATATGTATTAGGACATAAGAGATGATATAAATTGATTTCTACTAGTTTTAGGATCTATGTTAAGTAATATTTTAAAATTTAACGGATCACTAATTAAAACTTAAATATATATATTTCAATACTTTTTATAGTATTTACCTGCGTATTAACGTGTGTCCTATTCTAGTAAGATATAATTTTACTTACAAAAACGCGAAAGTTATATTTACCTAATTGATTTTTTAACTACTTTCTTATAACAATTATGACTATTTTCTGTAAAGTAAGCTAAATATCACGGAAATCCCAACCGACTATTTGTGTTGTCTGTGTTAATTTAAGTAAATAATACGGTGATCCATCATGCACGCAATAAGCTGCCCCAATTATGTGGCTATAACGGTTACTGTTGAATGATGTCTCATTGAACAGTAACCGTTATAGCCACCCAATGATGTATGTTTTATATTGCTATATAGCATTAAAATAAAGAGATAATTTGCTTACTAACCAAGAAAAAAAATCTAACTTAATAACTAACCAAAATCTAGTAAGTCAAAATGGTGTAACATTTCGAAAGCATTAGAAAATCCAGTGAATGAGTAAACGATTACACTTATCTTGAGAGAGATTAGTTGGATGGTAGAAATTCACCCAATGATGTCTCATTGAACAGTAACCGTTATAGCCACCCAATGATGTATGTTTTATATTGCTATATAGCATTAAAATAAAGAGATAATTTGCTTACTAACCAAGAAAAAAAATCTAACTTAATAACTAACCAAAATCTAGTAAGTCAAAATGGTGTAACATTTCGAAAGTATTTGAAAATCCAGTGAATGAGTTAACGATTACATTTATCTTGAGAGAGATTAGTTGGATGGTAGAAATTCAGATTATTTCATGGTTCTAAAGAAAAACGGTTCAGTCACTAAAGCTACATTTACCTTAGTTATCCTTATCCTTTATAGTATGATTTCCCAATTTTATAAAGATCGGCTACAAATTGAACTATTTGTGAGTTGCATATATTTAAGGTTTTCATTCCGATCTTTCTATTTCTTGGTAGTCGTTGGGTAATAAATATGAAATTGTTACTAAAATTTCTGTGGACCTTGACTTTCCAAAATTTAATTCCAATCACGTCGATGTCCCTGATTATGGCACGTGCATTTCAACTTATTAATTAGGTTAATGCGTAAACTTATGAATGAAGAATAATTACACGAGAGAACCTAATTTTTTAAATGTTTTTTAAACTAAGAGAGAACCTCATGCTATAGTGTTCTTTTTGAAAATCTCCTCTTGGATTGTTTTTTTTGAGAAATTGGATTGTCTAACAAATATTTTTAATTAAATTAGCAAACTAGCAAAAACCTTAATAAATAACCTATTGTTTTACTAAAGAATCCATCTTTCTTTTATCATTTCTCTAATTAACTATTTATTTTTTGTTATACAGCTAACTAGCCCTTGTGTTTTTTATATATAAACCTGTGGACGTTTTAAATCTTTGAACGATAATCTCTTTTGATGCCAAATATCAGCCGTTGATAATACCACATTTAAAACGTAATTCTCAAGAATATACCATAATTTGGCTGAGTCTGTCTATGTTTCGGCACAGTCTGCATATTTCTAGATATTGGCGGAGTCTGCCAATATCTAGGCAGAGTTTACCAATGTTTTGCAGAGTCTGCCAATATCTCGGTAGACTCTACAAATGTTTTGGCAGAGTCTGTCGATATCTCGGCAGAGTCTGCATATTTCGAGATATTGACAGAGTCTGCCAATACATCGGTAGAGTTTACCAATGTTTCAGCAGAGTCTACCATTATCTCAGCAGAGTCTGCCAATACGTCGGTAGAATCTGGCAATATTTCGGTAGAGTCTACCGATATCTCGGTATAGTCTACTAATGTTTCGGCAGAGTCTACGTTTTTTGAGTAGACGCTTTAAAAGTCTTCTAAAATGTTAGTAGACTTATATCTGAGTCAGGTAATCTATCAATATCTCGACAAAGACTACCAATATCTCGGTAAAGTCTGCCAATATTTCAGTAGAGTCCACGAAGAACAATTTTTAGTATTATGAAAAAAAAAAAATCTAGAATAGGTTATTTAAGCAATAAAAAAATAGTAAAATTATTATAGCTATTTAAAAAAAAAATAGATTACTCTAACTAATATTTTAATAAATTTATGATGTGTTCTTTTTTGCATGACGTATCCTTTCCACGAAACATGTGTATGCAGTTATGTTGATAAACTATCAAGATCTCTACATGTGGAATATAAGCAGTTTGGTATCGACGTCCAGTGCCAGGTACTTTAAAGACTACAAC